AAGAGCAACAACCTTCTAAGTTGAAGGTCACAGGTTCAAATCCTGTAGGATGCTGAATTCTTCGGGAGAGTGGCCGAGTGGTTAAAAGCGACAGACTGTAAGTCTGTTGAGAAGGTTATATTTCTACGTAGGTGCAAGGTTCTGCAACTAGGTGGTATGATCCTGTGTTGCCAGGGAATCTTTTCCAGCCTATCGGGGTCTGTCTTGAGGTGCCCCCACCACCTAAATGCTATGGTGGGGCCCAATGCCACTGACCTCATCCCTAGTCTATGTACCCTAGGAAGTATCGTGCTGTGCTCGAGTAGGATGTATCTCATACTGAGCTTTCTTTTCCCCTTCTGATGTTCCACGCCTGGCACACCCTTTTGTTAGTGCACGCCTTTCGTTCACGAGTCTTGCAGTCATGTATGAGGTCATGAATTAGCATACGATTGGAGTCGAGTGAGTCAAATATATGGTGGACGGGATCCGGGTCGTAGCATAGGGTATGGAATGAATGAGCGAGTATTGCATCGATGTGCGTAAAACGTCCTTCATCCATTTCTAGTCGTCTGCAGTAGAGCAGCGGAGCTGGGACATGTGTCACACGACTGTTCGAGCACGCGTTTTTTCTGTCCAGGTCCACATCTAGGGGCCTATTTATTTGCACCACTCGCCATTCGCCAACATTTTGAAATTTGAATGCATTTGGACAAGGAATTTGTCACAAAAAGAAATGAAAAAAAAAAATGGATGCACTCAAAATCTTGGTGGGGCCCAATGCCGCTCACCTTTAGTCTATGTACCCTAGTACCGTGCTGTCCTCAAGTAGGATATATCTCATACTGAGCTTTCTTTCCCCCTTCTGCTGTTCCACACGCTTTTGGTTAGGTCACACCTTTCTGTCCACTCCACCTCTAGGGGCCTACTTGCACCACTCGCCATCCGCCAACATTTTGAATGCATTTGGACAAGGAATTTGTCAAGATGCATTCAAAATCTTGGCAGATGGCAAGTGGTGCAACTACACCCTTCTCCTCATGGATAGAAGGTATTAATTGAATTAGTTTGGGAGCATTTTGGATTTGTGCCTAATCAGTACATTACTTCTTTTTATGTATCTACTTTTCCAGTTGTATTGGATACAATGGTGAAATATTGGATTTTCGACTCTTCGAGCTGCATTGTTTTGTTTTTTTTTTTGTTGGGACAAATGCATTTTTTTTTGTGGGGAGCAACACGTGCTGGGAACCGGGCCCAGCGTCCCATATAAAATGATACAAATGATTCGAAATACCAGGGCCATTACCTGGCTTCGGCTAAGAACAATCTTGAGAATTTGAGCTAAGAACAATCTGATTATCTGAGAACCACGACAAGAGTTCAGGAGGAATTTAAGAAAACTGTAGATAACTACTGGTTTCGACTAAGAACACTCTAAGAATTTCAAATAAGAACAATCTGAGAACTATGAAAGAAATTCAGAAGAATTATTAAGAAAACCATGGATAACTGCTGACCTACCGACCTAATGCTAGGTTACTCAAGCCGCAGTTACTAAGTCTTTTTGTTTTTTGAAAATATCTGGAAAGGCATGGAAAACTATATGAGCGGGGGGTCAAAAGTGAAACAGCCTACTATCCAAAATTCCCCCCTCAACAGACGGAAAGTTTGTCCAGGCTTTCGGTCCTCGTACCAGAACTCACTTGATCTCACATCCCCTTCATGCAGGGCATCGCAACCTTCCCCAGTTCTGACCAACCTAGTTCTGATGGACAGGAAGTGCCTTCCTCCCTCGACACTACCCTTAACGACAAGCCCCTGATAGATTACAAGGTTAATACCCCGGGGTCCACTTCGTCGAACGATCTGGTTATGCCTTCCACCCTCAGCATAAATCCACAAACCTCAAACTCCCTCCAGGTCATAGAGCCAAAGCTCCAGCACCGGCCTGTGTCGTCCCAGCTTCGTTCTTCTGACCTACTTGCCTAACACCCATTCCTCCATTGAGAACTTTCTGACTAAATTCCATCCTCCGGTTCTAACCCCCCCCCCCCCCCCCCCCCC